TACAACAATATACTATTCCTTTAGGAAAGCGATGAAATTTACATTTTTGAGTGCTTGCCTTTTGATCAAAATAGTTATTACATCCATACACAGCACATATCATTCCAGGCATACTTATCTGTTTTATAAATGTATCTTCTTGTTGCACTAAAAAAAGGGGGTAAAAGAAATGCATGCACATTTTATAGTATAATATTTATGTGAGTATTTTGAAATTACCTTGCTGTTAAGCTGAAAACAAACATCTCGTCTCCGTAACCCTAATAACACCGATCTCCCAGAAACATCCTATTTACGTACCATTAAGGTCCTTATGTTTCCGACATAAATGGTACATCGCTGCGATGTTTGTAATGTAACATCTCTAGGATGATTGTCCTGAAATGTTTTAGAAACATCCTTTCGAAAATATCTATCGACAAAAAGATTTTTCGTTCTCAAAATTAGATACTTATTACAGCTGAAAAATGGCTAACATTATTTTACAAAACTAGGTAGGACCTCAGACCGGCAGGACCCAGTATTAAATTTGCCAATTTTGTGTGATTTCTGAAAATGTCTCTATCACACACACAAACTAATTTCAAATTCCATAATATACCTGTAATGTATATAGATAAGGTACTTAATATTAATTTTGTATTGTAACAACAGCAAAATTTAATTTTTCATTCGACTTACAACTTGGAATAAAATAAAATATGTATTGATAAAAGTCTTCTCTGTTTTCAACTTTCAAACATCGTGAATATTCGTGAAGCCGAAGTGTATGGCGCAGGCGCGTGCTCAGGCATTTGTACTTGTACCGGTCAGGACAGGAGGGCACGCCACCACGTAGGGTCGGGCGGGTCGGCGCCGCAGCCAGCGCAGACGGGCAGAATCAGTCGAACGGGTCGTCCTGTGCGCTTCGCTTGTGTTGTTGGGCGGAATTTTATTTCGTAATGGCGTCGTGCTGTGTGGAGGATTTGTCAATTTGTGGTTTTTCGCTACACCTAGTTGTGCCATTTTGTGTTCGAAAGGATCTCTGCGACCTACCAGTGCTTATTAGTTGGTGAGAAAGATTATTTGTTGAAAGATAACGTCGCATAACTATCAATTGTTTAGTTTATTTAATTTCAATATGGCGTCGGTTAGGAAATTTCTAACTTTTCTAATAAATAGCCCCTAAAAACCCGAACTTCATTCTTCATTAGGTAAGAGAAAATAACCAATAATTATTTTTTGTTTTCATAGTTGATTACATTCTAGGTGTGCAAGTTGAATTGTACTTCAAGAACTTTGGATTTTGGTTCTGTGGTTGTTTTGGTTAGTTAATGGTACCTTTATGAAATTGGAGCACCAAAAAAAAAAAGAAAACGCCGAACTCCCCCACTACAACATGCTGCCACTGCCAAACTATGGTTTTCGATGACATGACGGGGCATAAATACTACATTATTTAGGCAAAATTGTCCGTCGGTTATTATTAGTTGATAGATAATCAATATAAGTATGCATGTACCTTATTTTTTCAATAAAAAATGTTATTGGAAACTGATGTGCCTACTTAATTTTATAATTTTCAATTTTTGTTTTTTTTTTGGAAAAAGTTCTATCTGACTTCCAGAAAATAGAACGAAAATTGAAAATTATTGAATTAGGTAATTTTTAATCCATAATCCTAAAATTCATTCACCTATTAAAGTCATACTAGAAACATCACTGAGAGATGTTTCTTACACCTGCCCCGGATGTATTAGGTACATCCCGCGTCATCTTAGAAACATCCCTGAGAGATGTTTATAGGACATCGCAAATGATGACACGGCTGTTGCCTGCAACATCCCAGGGATGTCCCCAGGAAAATAGGGACCTCCCAGGGACGTCTTCATTATCCCTGATGGATGTTTCTGGAATGTTTCTGCGATGTTACTGTGTTATTAGGGAATTAGCTAACCACTCAAGCACACAAACTTTTCAAGTCTGCTAAATTTAAAAAACACAGTTTTTAAAAGAAATTACGAAATAACCTCAAAATAACAATTTTTCATGTTTGAAAATGCAAGGAAAGCACTGTCATAGTAAAAAACAAACCGATCAAGGACTGCGTAACGTCACTCGCATTCCTCCATGTTCAATATTTTTATGAACGTAGGTATGTCTTATGGGATTGAGCAATCCTGTAGAGTTTACGATTCTTGCTTTCCGGCCATATTTTGCTTGTCAGATGAGTCACATGTTCTGGATAGGCTAAAGGTGCTCTACAGACCGGGCCAACGAATGCCAACGAATGAGATTCAGCAATAGATATCGAATGTTCGTTTGCCTTCGGAAAAACGTCCATATTGCATTCGCTGTCTGAGCAAACGTTCGTTGGACGGACACGAAACCGCAAAAATCGATAAGCGATTAAATGACGAAGTTATTATTGCTGGTGCTGCATTTATAATTCTCAATGAAGATGAAGAAGAGAAAAAACCAAAACCAAAACACAAACGAAGGTGGTGGATAACCAAGGATGATACACACTACTACTACAGGATGGCGCCTATCCTCATAAGGTCTGTGTGTAACAAATCCCCTCCTCCCCCCCCCACCCCCGGGGAGAAACAACCAGTTGTGACGTAAGCAGCATGGCGTTTCTCGCCTTGACGTAGGCTTTTTAAACAGCTGACGACTTAGTTATGACGTCGGCAATGGTTGAAAACAGTTGAAAACCAATATGGCTGCCTCCTCTGACGAGCCGCCACTGCACTGAACAAAAATTCTTCGAACGAACCCATTCGTTCGCGTTAGTTGGCCCGGTCTGTACGCAGCTTAATAAGACTATCCAAGATGCTGTCAAACTTAAAAAAATATCCGCCAAGAAGCACACATACCCTTGTTACAGTTACGTGTTTTGGATAGGCTGATTATATCGCAAAAACAAAACGTCGAATTTGTTGAAATTATTTTCATGTATATAAAATAGGTTTGATTATTCCAGTGGCGTCTCGAACCTTTTATTAAGATAAAAAAGTAGGTACGTAAATGTCTAATATTTCCCAGAACCTTGGGTATTATGAGTAGGGAACTATTACATTTTTAAACATTTTAGTTAAGGAGCGAGAATACATTTTTGCATTTTCTTGACCTAGGAGTCGAAATCAACCTACTATGCGTCAAAACTGAAGACAGACGAGAGAAAAGCTCTTCCGTCTCTTATCGAGGGTTTTCTCTCGAACCTTCGAGACAAGAAGAAAGAGAGCGCATTCTCGTCACGTCTCGTGTCGCGGCATCACTATAGACAACTATCAGGCAAGAGAACAATGTGGAAAGGGCTTCAGCATAGTACTAGAAGTGACCATATTATATCAGACTTAAGTGATTTAAAAATTAACTATTTCATTCAAAAATATACCTATATACTATACACAGTGTGTAAAAAGTCCCGGAACAGTCAATTATTTTGAAAATAGTGCACAATATAAAAAAACTTCCTGTATAAAAGTTGAAGGTCTTAATAAAATCTATTGAAATAGGACTTATGTAATTATATAGGGTGGCCCAAAAAGTTGTGCTACACAAAACCTAATTTTTTTTTAATGGAATGATCCTTTTTTTAATTACATTTTCTAATTCCTCTAGAGATTCTAAACAACAATTATGAAACATGTCATATGGCTAAACCCATTAGTTTCAGAAATAATTTGAGTTGAAGGACATAAATACGATAAGTACGATATTACCTACATTTTGCATTGTTTCGAGTTGGTTCAAAATGGTAACCAGACCTAACGCCCCTTGATTATTTGCTTTGGGGACATCTGAAAAATAAAGTGTTTGTGACAAAACCGCCAGATCTGAACGAATTGAGAAGAAGAATTATTGAAGAATGTGCATCTATTAAACAAGAAATGTTACAAAACGTCATCAATAAATTTTATTATAACCTAGCCCATTGTCAAACTGTGGGAGGAGGACATTTTCAGCATTTAATAAAATAACGTCTTACACTTAATTTTATTTCTGTTCTTTCAAAGTTATTGTTAATTTTACTTTACTGCTTGTATTTTATAATTTAGTTATTAATAAAATTTTGACTAAACTTGAGTGAGGTACATTTCATTTAACACAAGTTAAATGTTTTTTTTTTCCAGGATTTAACGTGAAACATTATGAACCAACTCGAAACAATGCAAAATGTAGGTAATATCGTACTTATCGTATTTATGTCCTTCAACTCAAATTATTTCTGAAAGTAATGGGTTTAGCCATATGACATGTTTCATAATTGTTGTTTAGAATCTCTAGAGGAATTAGAAAATGTAATTAAAAAAGGATCATTTCATTAAAAAAAAATGAAGTTTTGTGTAGCACAACTTTTTGGGCCACCCTGTATAATTACAAAAATCCTATTTCAATAGATTTTATTAAGACCTTTAACTTTTATACAGGAAGTTTTTTTATATTGTGCACCATTTTCGAAATAATTGACTGTTCCGGGACTTTTTACACACTGTGTATAGGTATAGTACAGTGTGTCCAAGATAAGGATGGGATAGTATATCTGGATCTGGATAGATCTGGAGAATGGTTGGAGTTACAATGTGTTTATCCAAATAAACTGCTGGACACTTGAACTTACACATACAGATTTTGAAGCAAAACTGAATTTTATCGCCCCGTATATCGTAACCCTATGGTCCTATGAGAAATTTACGTCAAGCTTTATCCGCAAAAAACAAGCTATTTAAATCCACAAACCGCGTTAAAAAAAAAACTTTATTCGTGTCGAAAATATGGAATTTCGAATTTGCTCTAAAAATCTGTATATGTGAAAGTTCGAGTGTCCAGCAGTTTAGTTAATAAAAGTGAAACACAAAATAAACCCTGTTGTCGTCCAAGCAACACGAAAAATAGAGAAACTTGCTCAGGCAAATGCTAGAAAAATAGATTCGTATAACAATTTCCTGTAAATGCAAGAAATTTTCTGAGAGATGGATGTGCGAACGCCCGTTACGAAAACCATAAAATAACCATATAAATTACTTTGCAAAAAAATAGTATATTTCGACTGGAAAAATAAATACTGATCATTGTCATTAATAGGTTAACACAAAGTTAACAAACGAAACATCCTACGTTATCTAACAAGTAACAGCTTTCTCGTAATTACAGATGCCCAATTTTGTATCATAGAATAGACCGGCGCTGCAAATCAACTTGGTGACAATGTACCGTATGCCACTGAGTTGGCAATAGTAGAAGACTCTACAATTTGCAGAGCTTCTAAAGTAGCCTGGCGCTGTGCAGACATCTTCTTTAGTTATTTCGGAAGCTGAAGTTGTTGAACTACTAGTACTTGATGAAGAGGATGAAGTTGAAGAAGCAGTGGGAGTTGTAGTAGTAGTTGTTGTTGTTGAGACTGTAGTTGTTGTTGGAGTTGTAGTTGTTGTTGAGGTTGTAGTTGTAGTTGCTGATGCAGTTTTAGTGGATGATGATGAGTCAGCAGTTTCATTGGAGTTCTGAAAGATACATCATAAGAACAAGAATTGAGTTGCCTAAAATAGTTTTTTTGTGAAAGTTGAATTACCAATTCGTTGTGGATTATTTCCAATAAAGGATACTTTGTTCCACTGAGTCCAAGGAAGTCTTCAGTTTCGATTGACCATAACATGATGGCTCCTAGACATAGAGATTTAGCATAGGCAACCTTAAGAGTTAGCGATTCTTTATTTTCATAGCTCAACCAAGTGGTACCAGAGAAAGCATATGGTACTTTTTGTTCGTCGTCCCAAGCCGTTGTCCAGCCACCTTCGTTAAACTTTTCAATGATCTGAGAAAAAAATCAATCGATAAATAGGAAGATTATTATAATTGCCAATACAGATTGTATTCTATTTTGTTGATAGTATGAAAATTCGGCGAATCGGCAGGCCCACGTCACTCTCCTAGTCCTATATCCATCAAGATTTATTTTGCCTTAACTACAAAACTAAATATTGCGTTTTAAAAAATTAAGCATAATCAAGCTTCTTAGTAAAAAAGCGTGACAAATTTTAATCAAGCTGGTTTTAATTTAAAAAAAGGAAAAACAGGAGAGAATTGCGATTAAAAATTGAACTATGGATAAAAGTCGCACTACTAAGCTTCTAATTAGCTTCCGCTCGGAACACTTTTATAAATTGCTTTTCATTAGCAGCCCACTTCAAATAAAAGTTAAGTAACTATTTTTGTTCTTTTTTGCTCATGATGTTGGTTAATGAAATTGAACAATCAAAAAATTAACTGAAATAGTTCAAGAATCGGCACAAATCAGCGCAAGCCGCAAACAGGCTCTCAAAAATTAGAAACTTTTAGCAACTGACTAAAAAGGCTCCTTATATCCTTAATGAAGTGATATGTTTAGGAAAAGAAAGGACTTTCCAACTAAATTTATTCTCACCTCATTATATCCCAAGAATCCGGAAGTGGCTGTGTAAGGACCAGCAACACCTCCAGTAGCAGTAGTAGCAGATCCTGGTGCAGTCTTGTCAGGATTAGAAAGGATGTTGTTTCTTCCATAGAATGGTACCCCAAGGGCTAGTTTTGAAGGAGAAGCTCCGCGAGAAATCCAACCATGAATTGAGGCATTCTATATAAACAAAATAATTATTTAGCTTTATACATATGTAAGCATATACGACCGCTTATGTGAGTAGTGAAAATGTTACTGCCATTGAATTTTACACAAGCGAGGAAAACACTCATGAGCATGAAAACATTTTTTACAACAAGATCAGACCTTAGTCTAGAGCTCAGAAATCGAAAAGTCAGATGTTATGTTTTCTCTGTTACTCTATGGATGCGAAAGTTGGAATATGAACTCACAAACAGAAAAAAGAAAAAAGAATAGAAGCTTTCGAAATGTATATATTTTATATGAATTTCACGACTACAATGACCTCTAGACGCGTCTCAGTACCACGGTCGTAAAAAGCCTATCGCAAAGTCTAGACGCTTCTTCAGCAAGTTATCCTGTCTGAACATGTCATGTCAAGAACTGCTCCATCGTCGCAACGCTCCTATAAAAATAGCAAGATCAACATATTTTAAAATATTGTCACAACCCCTATACGTTTTGTCCTGGGACGTCACAACAGGAGCGTGACTTGGGGGCGTAGGTGGGGTTCAGGTAGAGAGAAACTCGCTTGGTATAGGTATAATAAGATGTGTATTGATTAATAATAGTTATTACCCTAGAATTGGTATCATGACGTCTCTTCTACGGAGGGACGTACTACTTAAGTGCCACTCTGTATTAATTATGTACACTTGGCGTGACTGAAGACTGAAACTAGGTTTGAGACAGGTCCAGAAGGGCGTTTCCCATTAAAGGTAGTTTGCACTGGACCTAGTCTGCTGCGTTCAATACTCCCAGAGGGGCGTTTCCCATTAAAGGTAGTTTGCACTGGGAGGAGACTTATCTAGAAGGACTTTTCCCATTAGAGGTAGTTCGCACTAGCCTTAGTCTGCCGGTAATGAATTTCGGCGCTGTATTTATACCAAATAAATTCTGACTCGTCGACACACTTTAGTAAAATTGATGTACAGAGTGGTATTTATTTAAGTAGTTGACAACATAAAAGACCCTGTCTCTTTAGTTTAAGTCCTCATTATTAAGTTGGTTAATGTCTAATATAATTGTAACCTGTATTTAAAAATAAATTAGTGTTTTTTTTTTAAATGTCTTCAAGAGTTTTTGAGATAAAAATTTGGCGCAGTCGGTAGGATCTGTCAACGCTGTCAGAACAAGAATATTCTAACTGATAGCGGCGGATTCTAATCCTTTAAACAGGAAAAGAACGGAAGCATCCCAACTCGAAGTGAACACGACGAGAACACGACGATTTCATGGAGCCTATTTTTTTAATGTAAGTACTTGAAGAATTGTCTCATTTATTTTTATTTGTAATTTATGATACTATTCAATTTTTCAAATAGTCCCTCTTATTTTTTGCTTTTACCATATTTTGCGAAGTTTTATTTTGCCATATTTTGAAAATTTGCCAACCAATTTTTATATATTGTTTGGCATACTTTGTTTATTTTGAAAAGTTTGCCAATCAATTATTTCCTTAAAATTTGTTTCATTTTACCATATTTTGAAAATTCACCAACCAACTTTCATAAATCGTTTCCATTAACCATATTTTAAAATGTTTTGCAAAATAGAACCCAAAATGCATCCGATTCAAAACAATTCGTACCAAGATACGCTTCAACTACCCCTCAAAGAAACCCGAATTTTTATCCTACCCAACGAAAAACTCATCTTTTAAATGATTCCTCTAATGAAACATATGCCAACAAATTTGAAAGCTCTTATTATGAACAAGATGCTAGTTATAAAGAAAACGAATTTGCTGAAGAGTTCACTACTGATCCGAACGCTGAAAATTATCAGTTTTTTTTGGTACCTTTTACCAATCACCATCCGCCGGAGAATACCCCTCAAGATCACACTTCGAATACAACTTCTGAATCTAGACAACATGAATCCGAACCTCAACTTTCCGGAATAAGCATTTCTTTAATCCCACTTCTTACTGCTAATTCGAAAAATCTGGACTACATTTATGATGCTTCTAATAAATTCAGATTACTTATTGATACAGATGCATGCATTTAAATTTTTTAAGAAAATACTGTCGATAAATTCCCCTATCGTTCCGATGAAAACGTAACCCTTCAAGGTATCACCGATCAAAAACTCCAGATCCGTGAATCAACACTCGTACCGTTCACCCTCCAAGATCCTCACAAAGTGTATATTCACAACTTGAATATTGATTTCGATGAAATTTTAGGGTTGGATTTCCTAGAACATTATACATGTGTGATAGATTTAAAAGCTAAAGAACGTGTAACTAATTTCGAAACTATCCCTCTTCATAAAGTTACTGAAGATGACTACCCTAATAATGCGAAACCAAACAACACTCAAACAATTTTTAACAAAGTATCTATAGGAGCTAGAAGTGAAAAGATCATTAAACTCAAGTGTAATCTATCCAACACACATGCTTTACTCTTTTCTCAAGAAAAAGCAAAAGCCAAATTACCTGATGCTTCAGTAAAAGTCAATCAACAAGGTGAATTTTTAACCTTAATTGTAAATATTAACGCTAAAGAGAAAACCGTGGAGTTTTCGAACTTGTCTATCGAACCATTTGTCTCAGAAAGTGAAACTCAGAAAACCATTCTAAGTTTAAACAACTCTAACCTCGAATATGACGATACTTATGATAGGCAAATGTCCACACAAAATGAACTTCGTACAGAACATTCAAACGACGAAGAAAAAGAACTAAATGGCTACGTTCACCAGAACTAAAACGGATTGTAAACAGTTTACAAATACCAACAGAATATGTTGGGTAAACTCTTGGTTCTGCTGAACGATTCAACTTTTCAATGATAGAACGTTACCTTCTGAATGACAGGTCACCACACAAAACACAGCGTTGAAAATTATAAAGACTCTGAAATTATGCTTGCAAAAATGGCGACCGTTTGCAAAACATGTTTGGTTTTAACACAAATTCAACGTAGCGTTCAGCAGAACAATCGCAAACCGTTTACCAACGTTTGTATCTGGTGAACGCGGCCATTATCAACTTATGCCTGATCTTTTCCGATATTTTCTACCTGGAAGGTGACATGCTCACATTTACTAGTGAGATTGAACACCCTGTTAACACCAATAATGCGAAGCCTGTGTATCTTACAGGTACCCCAAAACACACGAAGTTAACAAAGTGCTAGACCAAGGCATAATTCGTCATTCTGTATCTCCATGGTCTTCTCCCGTCTGGGTCGTTCCTAAGAAACTTGATGCTTCTGGCAAACCCAAATGGCGCGTCGTAATCGACTACCGTAAAGTCAACGAACTTACTGTAGACGACAAATACCCACTGCCTAATATTTCCGATCTTCTGGATCAATTGGGAAAATATCAATATTTTACCATGCACCCTTGACTTGACCTAGGATGTTTCGAAAACCGCTTTTTCCGTAGAAAATGGCCATTACGAATTCGAACGTATGCCATTTGGATTGAAAAATGCCCCGTCCACATTCCAAAGAGTCATGGACAATATTCTCCTCGGCATTCAAAACGAAAAATGCTTAGTCTACATGGACGATATTATCGTTCACTCTCCTACTATCCTCGAACATATTTCAAGGCTAACCGTAATTTTTAAACGCCTCCGTAAAGCTAACTTAAAAATCGAACCGGACAAATGTGAGTTTCTTCGAAAAGAAGCAGCTTACCTGGCACACCTTATCACTCAAGACGGTGTAAAACCGAACCCTGCAAAAATTAGTTGTATTCAGAACTTCCTTACCCTCCAAAATCCGAAAGACATTAATTCCTTTCTAGGATTAGCAGGATATTATCGTCGATTCATCCTCAATTTTGCTAAAACATCAAAGCCCTTGACAAAACTCTTCCTGAAAGATATTTCATTTCACTTTAACCCAGAATGCATATACGCATTCAACGAATTGAAAAACGCACTAGTTTCTGACGCGATCCTGATCTATCCCAATTTTGAAGAGACATTTCTATTAACCACCGACGCAAGCGCTTTTGCCATCGGTGCAGTTTTGTCACAAGGCCCTATAGGAAAAGATCTTCCTATAGCCTATGCTTCGAGAGGCGCTGTGTAATGCCGAAACTAAATACTCTACCATAGAGAGAGAATTACTGGCCATTGTATGGACAGTTAAGCATTTTAGACCGTACCTCTTTGGTCGAAAATTCCTCCTTATCGCAGACCATCGCCCTTTAACTTGGCTCTTCTCAATTGAAGACGCTGGAAGTCGTTTAGCTCGCTGGCGCTTGAAACTCGAAGAATACGACTATCGAATCGAGTATAAACCTAGGAAAATCAATAGGAACGCTGATGCCCTATCTCGAATAAAAGTAAACCACTTCAAAGATTGTTCAGATTTAAGTTCCAAAATTCACATACCCGCTTCTAACAAAGAAGAATCTGATATTGACGATATAAGAAACCGCCCCTCTACAAGTCAACAACAAAAAATTCCAATAGTCGAAATTGAAAACAATGATGAAACGACCCTGATTGAGGAAAAATACAACTCTTTCGTAAATCTCTACAAAACTAGATCAATTATTGACTACTCAAAGATAGAGATTTCCAACCAACAACTTCTGGACAAGTCTGACAAAAATATCGTAACATTCTTTTGGCAAACCAAACTAACAGAATTACATTACAAAATAATTATAGATGATCTATTCGAGGAAAATTTCGATTTTCAACCTAATCAGGTTAACATTTTATCCAGCAAATCTGTGAAGGCACGCAAATACTTCATAATTCCCATTCCTTGCAAAAATGAGAAAATAGTCCCTACCCTCTTTCACTCGCTTTTCAAATGTCAAAACGAATTTGATCCTGAAAAAACCTTTTGCATAGAAAACAATCCAGAATTACCTATTCTTGAAATATTTTCCTTCATATTTGCCGAAAAAGAGATTAAGCTTAAGATATGCCAAAATATCGTCAAAACCCCAAGACCAAATCCCAATTATCTTGGACCAATATCATACTGGAAAAACAAATTTACATCGTGGAATCAATGAAACCATTAGAAGTATTAAAGACAAATACTCCTCGGGAAGTTTTGACCAAAAATGTTGAGAAATTCATTAGAGCCTGTGAAATCTGCCAAAAAGTCAAAATCTGTAGGAAAAATCTTAGTTCTCCTCTCCTGAAACTCCCAAAACTCCATTTGAAAAGATAAACATTGACCTTTTTGAATTTTCAGTTCGTAACTACGCCCTAACAGTTAGGGATGAACTTTCCAAATTCACTCAAGCTTACCCAATCTCAGACAAAAAGGCGTCCACAATTGTTAACACCCTACTAGTATTCTTCCAACATTAGGGCACACCTTTAAGAATTCACTGTGATTGTGGAGCTGAATTCAACAACGCCTTACTGAAAGACCTCTGTCAACTATACGACATAAAATTGACATTTTCAAGCGTAAGCCACCTACAATCCAACGGATCGCTGGAAAGATTCCATGCACCTTCAATGGAGATGATTCGCGTTCATAAAGCGGAATATCCAAATGAACACCTATTCAACATTCTCCCGTACGCAGTTATCTTTTATAATAATACCAAAAATAAGACACACGGATTCACACCTTTCGAATTAATCTTTGACCATACGTCGAATAGACCCCCTGAGACTCTTTATAATCAAAAACAGTTAATCTCCAAATACATACGAGACCTCAACAACAGAATGAAATATTATTATAGAATGGCTCGAGCCAGAACCGATATCCAGAGAGAAAAGTCGAAAGTAAGGTTCGACAAGATGGTCTCACAAAATCTTTCAGAATATAAAGCAGGTGATAAGGTGTATGTCAAAGAAACTCAAATAAAAGACAAAGCTCAAAATCTTTTTAACGGATCTTTCGAAATAATTCAAGTTTACAGAAACTAAGAGAAAGTGAAAAACCTCAAAACAAATCAATTTTCGAAATTTAACTTTGATAGACAGCCGTTCTATGATTAGTCTATTCTTTTCCATACTCGTCGGGCTGATTCCAGTCGTCACCCCTCAATTTCTTCTAACTTCAATTAACAAGACAGTTGGAATATTCTATCACGAAGAAGGTAGTCTTAGAGACTCAAATGATAAATGGACTCTTTTGTTTACGAAGACATAAAATTATTCAGAGAAACCATCCAGATTCTCACTAGCCTGAACAAAATTATTGATGACTCTTCTCTTCGAATGACCGACTTCAAACCAAGTTTCTGTAATCACCTCAGTAATAAAAAAATTTAATTCTACTATCCAGGAACTCCAAATCGATGAAGAAACATTCAACATCGATATAGCAGAAATCAGAGAATTCATGTCTGACATTTCGAACGATTTAAAGTTTTACGAAGCCCAAACCAGAACTCTAAACCTCTATAAACCATTAATGATTCAAGCTACGTCTTTCTGGAAAATTCTCTTAATGACATTCTAGAAGCAATAACGTTTGCACGTTCAAATATCTTACATACCTCAATTATAACTCCTAGAGACTTGGTCGCCTCTTTACAGGAAATATGGCGCTCTTTATCCGAAAATAACCTTCCTTTACGTACATATCTTCCATATGTAGCACGATACCTGGATATAATTGATTTAGAAGCTTGTCAATCAGAAGGTAAAATTGTCTTTATTCTAAGAATACCGCTGATCGAACCTGAGATATACACTTTCATCACATCTACTCTATCCCGATTTTGGATAATCGAACAGGTTTTCATTATATTTTACCAATAACTCAAAAATATATCGCGAGAGATGACGATTCTTTATTGTACATATTACTCCAAAGCCTGAATCACTGCAAACCTCTTGATAATAACACAAGGATATGTTCTGATCTTCTACAATACCCCATGCCATTCGCGAAGCCCAACTCCTGAAGTCAACCGGGACACTTCCGAAGACTTGCCAAACCACAATCTCACTCGCTAGTGACTACAATGTGCAAGAACTAGACAAAAACTACTGGCTCATAACATTATCATCGTTCCTTCCAATCATTATCAGATGTGATGGCAAAAACAGTGTGACAAAAACAATCAACACCAACACAGTGCTTAAGCTGTGCCAGAGTTGAAACCTCTTAAACTATCTAAAATCAACATCGATGATCTAAGCGTGGCACAGCATAGACTAAATCAATTTTCCGATGAACTGGATAAACTAATCCAAGAACCATTCGTATCAAGACACAGTCAACTTTAATCATCGTACTAATAGCAGCCATTGTAATCATTTAAATTTGTTTTAAGTGTCGACGAAAGGAGTTCATCCAAATCTACCCTCAGAACAAGAGATGACCAGTCTACACAACAACCCAGTTGCACAATAACCTCCAGACGCGTCTCAGTACTACAGTGTATAAAGCCTATTGCAAAGTCTAGAAGCTTCTTCAGCAAGTTGTCTTGAGTTTTTGAGATAGCATATATACAAAAAGATGTTACGAATTTCATGGATGCATAGGATCACAAACAAGGAAGTACGAAGTACTCCAATGCATGAATAACCAAAAAAAATTGCTAAACACCATTAAAGAGAGCAAAATGTAATACTTGGGTCATGTGATGAGAGGTGAAAGGTTTGACTGTGGTTCGAGCTACTCCGACTGATAATAGAGGGTAAAGTACAAGGTAGAATATCAGTTGGAGGACGCCAGAACTCAGAGCTAAAGGATATGATCTGAGAAGATGGTTTGACCGCTCATCTACAGAAAAGAAATATTCTATGCTGCAGTTTCCGAAGCAACAATTGCCATTTGGATCACCAACCTTCGAAGGTAGAGGACGCAATAAGAAGAAGAAGAAGACGGTATATTAGACACTCTAAATAGAGGAATAAGCTCTTATAGGCTTGAAGCCCGAATGGTTCAATCGTATATCTGTTAGGGTTGAATTCCATCAGATCAGGATTTAAGTTGATGGAAAAGTCGCGAAGGTGGCCGTTTGGTGAGTCTGCCTTACGGGAAGTGGTAGTCCATCGGCAGAATATGTTTTTAAAAGATTACACAACAAGAACTTCAACAACAACAACAATAAAAATGCGCGGTAAGAGCGTTTGCCTTTGTACAGAGAAATTATCTCAACCTCATCTTTTTTGTGCAAGCCGTGAACAGACAGTAGACAACCTGCCATTAAAAATTAAAAATGGAAAATATGCATTGTGTTCCTAGGTAGAGTAAAATAATTTGAGTAGTATTTACGCACTAATAGTAATAGAATTGTGTGCTTGCCGCTAAACGGATGTGTGAGTTAGTTTACTGTTCGAGCGCAACTTCTTACAAAACCTTTCACGTTAAAAATCATAATAGGATAACTTACCACACTGTAATCAGCATAGACTGTACCCGCAAACCTAGCAGCGCTATATAACGGGGCGTTATGGGATGCTGTGTTTTCCCAGGCTCCATGGAAGTCGTATAACATAACGTTTATGAAGTCCAGGTATCTAAAGTAATTAATTATTTTTGTGAATTCTGGATACAAAAAGAACTTACTTTGATAGAGCGGGTACGTCGTAAGAAATATCAATATAGCTAGGGGCAGCTGATACCGCTGCTGTTACAAGCAAACCCAATGGATGGAAGGTTTTGTAAAATTCTTTAATTAATTTTGAGAAGTTCTCCTGCAAATAAATACTCAGATGTTAATCATATCTTCACAAATTACGAACATATTATATTAATACCTTGTCAGCAGGGTTAGAACTATCCCTTCTCGCGGGGTACTCCCAATCAATATCAAAACCATCAAAATTATACTTCTGCACCCATTTCAAAGCAGAAGCTATAAAAGTTGCTCTGCTAGTGGCGTTTGCAGCCATTACAGAGTATTTTGCAGAACCGTCATTCCAACCACCAACAGCCAAGAGGGTTTTTAGATTCGGATTTACAGTTTTCAAGGCATTAGCGTCATTGAGGCCATCTAAAAGAGTCAATTTGTTTATTTAAACAATTTCAACTCAAAAACAAATTTCTTTATATGGATTTTTTGCATATCGCGGCACTTACTAAGATTTATATCCAACCAGGAGTCCAAAGACTTAACTTCATTGGTATCTGAATCCAGGCCAACAAATGTGTAAATGTAGTGAGTGCAAAGTTTTGCTGGTACGTCGCTAACTGAGAATTTTCCGTTTCCTAGCCTATAATGCGACCATGTTCCGTGGTAGCAGATTACACTTGCTGAAAAAAAGAATAATTATAATACATTTTTTAGTTCGTTTCTCTACATGTAATTCTATGATGCATACATGTTCTGCCACGATATTTAACGATAATGGCAAGAATTTATTCGAGAATTGAAATGGTGGCGCATTCAATTGATAATTTCAAACTCATCATTTTGCTGTAAAACAAAAACCTATTAAATTTTCGAGAAAATAATTCAAAATTTCAGTTATGGCAATGTATGCTTCAAGTACTCTTGCTGCTATGATTTTTTGATTTTTACTGGAATTACGCCAGCTTGCCTGTTTCTAAAAATCTTGGACCATTTTATCAATTAGCTAAAATCCATCGATAATCTACCCAACGGAATATTGTTTAACGTTTCCGCCGGAAAACCCGTCCAAGGGGGCTAGGGTTAAAAAATGTGCGGGTGTTAAAGCCTCTGGTGCAGATGGGTCCAAAGACAAGCGACACAAAGGGCGCGAATTTAACAAGGGTTCGACTTGAGTCAGTAATGTGTTGAATTCCTCGTATGTTAGCAACTGCTCGCCAACCACTCGGTAAATATGATTTTTTACCGACTTCACATTACTCTCCCAAAGACATCCTTCTTGAGGATTTAAAGGACAAATGTGTCTCCATTGCACTCCCTGAATCCCCAACTCGGTTTCTAAGGCCTTAACATACTCCGGAGAGTTCGTTAATTTCACGAAGCACTCGCTTGGCTCCGACAAAAGTTGTGCCATTGTCTAAAAACATATTCCGTACCGGTCCTCGACGCGAAAGTAAGCGTTTAAAAGCTTGCATGAAGTGGGGTGTAGAAAGAGAACTGATTAATTCCAAATGAACTGCCTTTACGCTCATACAACAAAATAAAGCAACGTTAGCTTAATGACCGGATGCATTTTTTCTCTTACCCATCGTGATCTTGATAGGGCTGAATAATCAACTTCCGTATTCAAAAATGCCCTTGCTTCTTGTACCCTCACCGCGGGTAAATTTCCCATCAATGGTTCTAAGTTTTTTGGCTTTAGACGAAAACACCAGTAACATTTATAAATTCTACTACGAATTATATTTCTCCCGCCTACAATCCAATACCTTTTTCGCAGCAGGGCCTCTAACAGTTCTGCCCCCGTATGCAAATTAATTCGATGATGATATTCAACCATTTTTTCAGTTAAAGGACATTTCCCAGGTAAAATTATTGGTTGTTTCTTATGAAAATTTAAATCCGAATTAACTAGGCAGTCGCCGCACTCCATCTTACATAAAAGGGTTAAGGCGTTTCAACTTTGGAGGATCACTGTTGATTTTTATTTAACAGTACGATTTCAGAACCAAAATACTCTAGTTGAATCAATTTAATCAAATAAATTTCTGCCTTTTGCAAGTCACTAGCTAAAATAATTGTTCTTTGTTCTTTTAGGAAGAACCTTTAAAAATCTGAGAACAAATACTGCAATTCTTAAAATTTTTAGCCAAGAAGAGATTCTATTTATCATTTCCAAAAGTGGATACGGCTGTAACTTCTCCTCCCTAGCAATTAAAACAGTTGAACTCTCCACAGATGAATCTATATTAATTGAGAAAAACTCGGCCAACTATTTTCTGGTAATTTTATCCAAGAGGGTCCAGTCAGCCACATAGAATGATTAAGAAGTTGATTAGGCGTTAGCTCTCTGGATAAACAATCTGCCGGATTCTGCATACTTTAAGTATAGTACCATACGAGATTTGGAACATTTTCCTTAACCTGCGCAGTCCGATGGATATTTTTGTATATCCTTCAAATACGAAGTCATTATCTAACCGGCATTAAAAGCCAAAATTTTAGAGATGAAAATCCGCTGGTTATAAGTTTCAATTAGATGTTTTAACAATTTTGACAACAAATGAGCTGCTAGCAATTCCAACAGAGGAACCGTTAAGTTTTTAATCGACGAAACTTTCGATTTCGCGTAAATAAGTTTGACAATTATTTTATTTTTTTCTTGACATACAGTACGGGCACAAACGACGGCTCTATATCCATCTAAGCTCGCGTCAGCAAAGGTCAAAATAATAACCGGTTTGTTACCAATAACGCCTATATGCCGTGGAACTCTAAACAGTCTAAACCTTTCCAATAATCTCCACTGCGACCGCAAGTTTTCCTAACATTGGGTGATATTCTTAGGAGGAGATTCGTCCCAATTAAATTTCAAAAGCCACAACCTTTTAACCAATAATTTCAAAAAATAAAATAAATGGAGCTATTAAGCCAATAGACCAGAAAAGAGACGTTGAACCGAACCTCGCAAACGCGATACAAGTTCTGTTTTTTTTTTCTGGTAGGACAAGGGCTGCTTATTATGGATCTAACTTTTTCCAACAAAATTTCTCCCTGGAACATCCCCTGAATTTCGTTTTTTTTTTTGTTCCGAAACTTACCGATTCTGCTACGTGTTACAACAAAATACCTTCATTGTTAATTAAAGAGGACTAAATGCTCTACAGTTTCCCCAGGGACAGCATTTGTCTATCATCTACCCTCAAGCCAGGGTGAGGCTCTAAAGATGAATGACCTTGAGAAAGGATGTTTTGGGATGTATTTTTTTAATGAACAGTAAAGCGAATTTACCACAAACTATGCAGCAACTACTCATAAATAGTTGGCCGATTTTTTGGTATCAGTTTTATTTAAAAACATTTACCCTTTTTAGATATACAGGGTGTTGAAATTTAAACAACCCCCTTTCATATCATCTGAAGGGCTAATGCTAGGCTGTTCAAATTCTCAGCTAATAGTAAAGTAGGAATGATATTTAAAAATTCATATAATGCACATCCATTTTTTACCTGGAATCACTCCAAAAAAAAAAATGAAAAAAAATTGCCTTTTTTCTTATTTTCTCGCACACAATGTCCTCCGTGAAAATGGTTCACATATTATTTTGTGCATACCTCCGTCACACATGCATAGACACGAAAAGCATTTTTCTAGTACAACCGCTCTAGACAGAAAAAAATATATTGAGGGGGTGGAGTGTTTTTTTTTTGGCTTTGGCTTTTTGTTTCACATAGGTCAGTAGCGCACTAAATAAGCTTTCCAAAAATATATCTACTTACTTCAACATCCCCCCGGAAACTACCCCTGCCCTTTATGGAAATTGTCGCAACCACTCTTTTCCGATTATTTCGTTATCTATGCATTGTATGGGAAGGAAATTTGTACGAAATTGAAGACCTCCATATGCTCTACAAATATTGTTTTGATGTATTTTTTTATATTTGCAATCGTTACGCTACAGTGCCGTCCCAGAGCTCAGCAATTTAGAAGCGGATTCCAGTTTTGTTCCATTATCTCATCACCTATACATTTTATCGCTAAAATTCATTTGCTAAATTGAAGGCCAGAAATTTGTTCACTAATTATGCCCTATGCACTTTCTACACTCTTGCTACCAGGGTTGTTCTTGGGGAATTTTCGTGTGTGCCTGCAGCAACACTCAAATAGTGCCACTTAATAGAAAGTGATGGGAGAGGGTTTTTTGACTTTTTACCCATTTCTTTTTATCACATGATTAAAAGAAGTAAGATATAATTGGCAAGGATAATCAAGCATACTCGGGTATGATGGGTTATGTAATGTGTCAATTGTGTCATACTCCCCTAACTCCCTTTCTATGAAATTTTGGGTCTGCGAGTGAAGTCACTATCAGCAGCTTATAGTGATGACGTCACCCGCAGACCTGGATGGAATGCTTGCGATTCTAGCTGTGCTAGTGAGTTAATTTTTTTGTCGATTTTAAATGTAGAAAAGGTGATTTTCGGTCTCTCACAGAAAAAATTAAGTGTTCTTGATCCTCGAGTATCCCAGAATTTGATGTTGGTTGGGTGCAACTGCGAGCAAAATGAGCAAAATTTGACAGATCTCACGTCATTTGACACGTGAAAAAAGATAAGTGGTCATGTGACGTCCGTCAAAATTTGCGTTTTTTGCTTGCAGATGCAATTACAGAATAAAAATAAACAGAAAATCCTGCTCCAGCTCTAGTGTTTCTCATCTTAAAAATTTGAAAATGATAATATCTAATAAATGAGCATCGTGCCAAATTTTTCAAAGTGGTGCCACCGTGCATTTTGCGGGCCAAAAGTGCCACTTTTGGCACAATTGTGCCCTTTGAACAACACTGCTTGCTACCTTTTAGCCACAACGGTAGCCCAAGGGTCGGAAAACGTCACGCAAAATCGATTTTTGCTTTTTTCCGCCAATAATCTTCAACTCCTGTTATAAAAGCATATTTAATTAATTTATTATACCATTATTAAGTATATAACAATTATATTTCATGCAATTTAAGTTCTATGTTCCAACCAATAAAATACAGTGGCTCATAGTCATTTCCACACCACCCAACGGTGGGACGTCACTGTGGCGTAACGATTGCAAAATATACGAAAAGGCATTAGGAACATATTTGTAGAGCAAATGGTAGTCTTTAATTTCGTCTAAATTTCCTTCCCATACAATGCATAGGTAACGAAATAATCGCAGAAGAGTGGTTGGGATAACTTCTATAAGGGACAGGGGTAGTTTCCGGGGGGATGTTGCAGAAAGTAGATACATTTTTGGAAAGCTTATTTAGTGCGCTACTGACTTATGTGAAACAAAAAGCCCAAAAAAAAAAATTTCAAGCCCTTAATATATTTTTTTTCGTCTAGAGGGGTAGTACTAGAAAAATGCTTTTGGTGTCTATATGTGTGTCGAAGGTGTGCACAAAATAATATTTGAACCTTTCGCATGGAGGGCATTGTGTGCCAGAAAATGAAAAAAAAGGCATTTTTTTTTGGGGTGGTTCCAGGTAAAAAATGGGGGTGTATTATATAAATTTTCAAATATCATTGCTACATAACTAATCCCTGAAACTTTGAACAGCCTAGCATCAGCACCTCAGATGATATGAAAGGTGGTTGTTTAAACTTCAACACCCTGTATATCTAAAAGGGGAAAATGTTTTCAAATAAAACTTATACCAAAAAATCGGCCAACTATTTATGAGTAGTTGCTGCATAGATTGTTACTGTTCAGTCAAAAAAAATAATCTTTTCTCAAGGTCATTCAACTTTAGAGCCCTACCCTGGCTAGACGGTAGGTGATAGACAAATGATGTCGCTGGGTAAATTGTAGAGCATTTAGTTCTCTTTAATTTACTATGAAGTTATTTTGTTGTAACACGTAGCGGAAGCGGTAAGTTTCAGAAAAACAAAAAAAAAAAACGACCTTTAAGGGGATGTTCCAAGAAAAAATTTAGTTGGAAAAAGTTAGACCCATAATAAGCATCCCTTGTCCTACCAGAAAAAAAAAAATAAAACAGAAATTGTGTCGAGTTTGCGAGATTCAACCTCTCTTTCCTGGCCTACAATTGGATCGTAGCATTGTGCTATTGCCGATAGTATGGTCCGTTTATTGCGTTTTTCTTCCGGAGTTCTCACTCGAAAACTTAGGGTATCACGTTGTGGATCCCACTCTATACTCAATATTTTTGTTTCTGTTTGGAATAAAACCACTTCCGACAGCCGATTTTCTATATGAATATATTGATTAACCTACTAGAATTTGATGACCATTTCACCAAATCAAAACCGCCTGCTTTGAACAAACCTGTCGAATCATACTGTAGCTCAATTGCTTCCTTTTCTGAGTCTACACTACAGCAATAATCATCCATATAGATCACGTAATACGCTCTTGGCGGCGAGAGGAAAATGATCACTTTATAGTTAGTTTATGATATCCAATATTAGATGTAAGCACATTAATGAGGTTATTTCATAAGAAACTTAATTAAGTGTACAGAAGACAGAGCTGGGCAGGGCTTGAGTGCTTTGTGCTTGTGAAAGGGCTTGAAGCACTTTGAGGACTTGAAAACCCTGTGCTTCAAGCCCTTTTATATATTTGTAATTGGGGCTTGCAAAGTCGATTACTCTAGAAAAGTGCTTGGTAATTTGTAATAGAAAAAAGTAATTCAAGCCCTTTCAATGAGCTTCAATTACTTTTAGAGGGCTTAAAGCACTTTTGGGTCACTTTGAAAGGACTTGAAGCACTTTAAAAGGGCTTGAAGTATTTTGAAAGGAATTTGGAATTGACCATCATTTAACCTATCCCCCACCTAAAAATTTTCGATGTGTTTCGTCGTTTAATTTTTTTTTTCTATTTGAACTAGAACCGTCCAATATCTTTTCTCTAACAATGGAGGTTTTGGGTTTGAGCTCAGAATTGAATTTAAAAAAATAAATGAAATGATTATTCAAATAAATAATCAATTTATATTGGTACCCTATTTAACTTTATCACTGGATTTTTTTTCACTTTTCTTCATTAAACATTCTGAAAACCTTAAAATTGAATTACCATGTAGTACCCCAACTACCCCAGAACTACCTACATCTCAAAAAAAAATACTACTGCTACTCTATGAAATTTAAAGTTCATTACTATACTAATTCAACTGATGAGTGTACGCGGTAGCTTCTGCCACTTTGAGAATTTTATTACAAATTCAAAGTGCTTTAGGCAACATTTAAAGAGCTTCAAGTACATTTAAAGAGCTTCAAACACATTTAAAAAACTTGAAGCACATTTAAAGAACTTCAAGCACATTTGAAGAGCTTCAAGCACATTAAAAGAGCTTGAAGTACATTTAAAGAACCTCAAGCAAATTTAAAGAGCTTGAAAGCACTTTTTAAGGCACCCCAAGCACTTTTCACATCACTAATGGCCGGTATTATAAAACACTGAACCGATGGTTGAGTTTCAACCTTCGGTTGACTCCATGCAAATTGATAGAATTCAACCGAAGGTTGAAACTCAACCATCGGTTCAGTGTTTTATAAAACCGGCCCTTAGTGTGCTTGCCAAGCCCAAAGCACTTTGAGGGCTTTGTGCTTGTGAAGCACTTTTGAAAATAAAAAGGAATTTTTGCTTGAAATTGAAGCACTTTTATAAAGGGCTTAGGGCTTAGTGCTTCAAGCTCTTTTACTGAGGGCTTTGCCCAGCTCTGACAGAAGAAGGTTTTTTTATCACACAAAAATGTCTAATTTTCCCATTATCACAACTCATCGCAGGGCAATGATATTGCTCGACATGCGGATGTTGTTTCCTTAGTTCAAGCTTTCTACGTCGATTGTTTTCATTTTGATGACAGAAATGATACGGTGTCACAGCCAGTCAACCGCTTATACCACCTCAGTAGCATAAAAAATACCACAAGAAAAAACCGTGCATCTGGATTAAGAAAACAAGATCTACCCACAAAAGGTAAAATCATGCCATGGCTTTATATTTTCATCTCTATATTTTTCAGGTTCCTCATCTACGAACTAATTGGGAGAAATATCTACGGAACAATTACAATACCCAAGATAATTTCAAATTTTTGGCGGATAGTATTATTGAGCATTGTAACTCCTATCATGTGGTAACTAATGTGGGTGAGAGCTGTGAGTCGTCAACTGGCACTTTTATCAACATAGAGAATGCTCAAATGGAGGAGGCGGATGGGCGAATAATTTTGCACGTTGAAGATAATGAATGGTACTAAACGGATCAAAATTAGTGCTTATTTGTTGTACCGACATTGGCGACATTGACATTGTGTCTTTGGCCATATCTTTTTAGCCTCAATTGGAACGTCTAGGCTTGGAAAATCTCTGGCTGCTGTATAGATGTCCTTAAACCCTACGAAACATTCTCGTTCACATTGCGGAAGTTCTTAGTGATAGAAAAACAGAAGCTGTACGCGGTTCCCACGCTTTTACTGGCTGTGAAACTGTATCATTTCTGTCAACAAAAGGCAAACGATCGGCGTGGAAAGCTTGGACTAAAGAAACGACATCCGCATTTCGTGCAATATCTTTCCCCTGCGATGATTTAGAGGACGATGTTCCTAGAGCTCTCGAAAAATATGTGGTACGCGTTTATAATGCTCACTTTAATCAGTTACATAAGGTCAAAAAATTTATTTGCGATCAAAAACAGCCTACTAACGCTCATTCTACCAACTGCATCGGCTCTATATGAGTGTAGTCCCTGCCACAGATAATCGAGATTCCTACAAAAAATTATTTCTTTGTCGGCGATGCCCGGATAAACAAAAACCGCTGCAAAAACTCTACAGATGAGGGTTGAGAATAAATTCAGTAAAAGTACATACATTTTTTGTTTATCCGGGCATAGCCGACAAAGAAATAATTTTTTGTAGGAATCTCAATTATCTGTGGCGGGAACTACAGACATTAACCGCAAGCGCAGTTTACCAGGCGGATCACGTTTGGGGTAGAGCGGATGAGATATTATACTATATTCTTTGATTATACCAAAACGACATTAAGTTGGCAATACAATGTAAAATTGTCAATGCTTTCAAATTTTTTATCTAGAAAAAGCTTGTGTTGCCAAGATAGTTACTAAATTTTTCACTTGGGGAATTATCTTTAAAAAAAAATAGACTTTATCCTATGCTGATTTTTTTTTCCTTAAGGGCCCCATACACTACGTTCTTTCTCGTCGGTTTTCATCGCCACGATAAAACACGTCGTTCCAAAACTGAAGTGTGTGGTAGAAAACCGTCGTGTTTTTCTACCACACACTTCGGTTTTGGAACGACGTGTTTCATCGCGGCGATGAAAACCGACGAAAAAGAACTTAGTGTATGGGGCCCATTACTTGCAGCTTGAGATATCAATGAATTATCAGCTTCGGATAGGAAGGCAGCTTATTTTAGATGTTTTTTTCTGTGTGACGCTAGGTGCGAAGCAATATATTTATTATTGCTCTTGCTGTAGAGCTGTATCGGTGACTTGTAAAGATTCGAAACATAATTTTTTGGATTCCTCATGCCACTGTCAAATATGACAGCAATAGAGCCCTACCGTTGGTCCTATGAAGATGAGATATATATATTTTTTTTTTTTAATTCTTCATATTCGAATTAATCTAAAATGATACCAATATTGAAATAATCTGATGACATAGACGTTTTTAGTAATTTCAACCCTTTAAAAATAAAATAGATGTAAAACCACCCTCCTAAGGGAAGACAGTTAAGGTGCTGCGGGTCAAATCACTTAAAATAGTCTAAAAAACAACTATACAAGTTTCATGCTTTTAACCCAATTTGCTACATTTTATCCCATTTTGATAGTCTAAACGTCTAAACGCATTAAAAACGACTTGCATAAATGAGATAAAAAATAAAAAAACTTAGGAACAACACGAAGAAAACATCGCAAATAATATCTATAAGAAAAGAGTTCAAACAATAACAAAACCAAAACGGGACGACACAAATTATTTTGATTGATTCCTATGAGGATTTGAATTCCGAACTTTTTTTTTCGAAAAGGGAACCAAATTTTAATGCGAAAAAAAAACAGGAAGATTATCTCCGAACTAGTTTTATTTCACAGGTTCCAATAACGATTCAAGTAAATATTATTTTTGCTATCATCTTTTATTTTTTATTTATATCCGAGTGGTTGGTAAACAATAAATCACTACAGACATACTTAAATATGCCCTTCATACACAAATTAATCGATCGATCACTCAGTCAGGAAAATTTGTTTTTTTTGCGCTTTTGTAAAAGAAATTAGCGCTTTTACCTTGTTTTTGTTGAAGCAAATAAATTTAAATAGCAATAACATGTATCAATTTCATCATTTTTTTGTACTTACTGCCGGATATTTGTTGTATAAGCCCCACTAAGACTAAAATCACTAGTTTTGTATCCATATTTGATAAAAATGCCACTTCAAGTGGCTTTAGAGTTATACCTACTTGATTTTCTAGTTTCCAAACCCTTTTAAATATATCAGAAAAATTTTTGTTTATCTTATCGGTGATATTTTAATCCCTACGATTATGGACTTTTTTACAACTCTCCAATTTATTAGTGCTTAATCTGATGTTTTTTTAATTAATTCTCCTGCTTTGCATAAGATTACTGATACAAAACGTGATTAATTTTCATTATTAGAAAAATACACCAGCAGGAATTTTATTTATAAATATGTAAACAAAAATTGCCGCACGTGCGGGAACTTGCCAGGAGTTATTGCAAAAGTTGATTTAAAAAAAAAAATGTCAAATTTTTATATTAATTAACAAAAAGAATTCTAAATTGTATAAAAATCAACTTCAAAAACATAGTTTGTTTGTGGCTTTATATTACAACAAAATACCTAAGTTACAGTATTATAAATAAATTAGTCAATCAATGGTAGATGAGTAAGTAATTTATTTTCGGAATACTTAGGTATATGTATTATTCCAATTCGGAAAAGAAAAAATGTTTTAACAATTAAGATGTATATCTGGCCAAATCTAAATTTTACCATAACCATAAGTTGTATAATAATCGATTTCAAAATGTAAATAAATGAAGTATACAGCCAACTTCAAATACATAGTTTGTTTGTGGCCTTATACTGCAACATAATAAGTTACAGTATTATAAATAATGGTAGATGAGTAATTTATTTTGGGAATACTTACATTATTCCATTACGGAATAAAAAATGTTTCGACAAGATGTATATCTAGCCGAATCAAAATTTCACCATAACACTGGACAAACATGGGAGTTGTTTCATCTTAGATTTGAAAAGCAATGATATTAGCATTTATAATAATAACAAAAATAACAAATTTAGAAAAAAAAAAAACAACAATCAACACTCACTTCATTGTGACAATAAATTGCCAATTATTCTTTGAATAACTGTTCTATTGTTCAGGGAAACATGGGAAATTGTAAGGGAAATTACTGGTAATAGAATTGCAACGCAGTTAATTGATATAAACCCTGAAATACTAAATGGCAGTCGCGTACAGAAAAGAATCACTTTCCACACTAGTTGGGCAAATAACTATAGTAAGTATTACTTCCTGATGAAATTATTTTTCTCTCTATTCATCTATCTTCTGAAAATAGAAAACTACGGTACCTATTAGTTTAATTGTCCACTAATTATAATTAATGAAAACATTTATATTTTCTTTATTGTTCATTGAAGGCATTCGACAAAAATTGATGACTTTTGGAATGCATCATTCAAGAAATTCATCCATATCTAACTCACAATAAAGTAAACTATAACAAAGTGACAAAATGAGGGGTTCAACATCGCTTTATTGAAAAGCATTCCTTAAGTACTTGAGTAATTTAACTGCAAATCCCAATAGGTATAAACAACTTATCTTTTTGCCTTGCCTTAGAAACAGTTTGACAGTAAGTAATTTACTTCGTTATATTTTACAAATAAAATGTAATCAAGACTGAGTAGAAAGCGAAAAAAGTCATCTGTCCTCCAAAATTTATTTGTCTAACATCCACATCGGCCTATTTAGCGAATGAAAAACTTGTAAAAAAACCCCATTTAAATTCAGTTGGAGCGACTCTCGGAGGTAGTCCGTGGAATCAGATAGTAATTTTATTTAAAGCCTCCCTTATAAAGGAATGAAATGAAAAGACGGATAATCCTTTTTCCCTACGTGTAGTTAGTTAGAATGAAATATCTTTTCGTGCTAGTAAGGAAGTTTATATTCTTATAATTGATTTTAATTTATTTTTCAACGAGCAGATCACGTCTTATATTATTTATATTGTCTATGCATATAATGGATAAATGAACTTATTTGCAGCTAAAAAATCCTAATGAATAATATTTTTTTTTCGAAATGGTAATAGTAATAAAATAATAAACTTTTTTTTTCGAAAATCGTATTAAACAATAATGATTTGTTATTCGTGTAATTGCCATGCAACTGTTATCAGTAATTTAGTTTTAAATCAAAATATTTTCAAATAAGAACAATAGATATAGAGTATTGACTTTTAATTACACACGTCACACTGAGTAAAATTGAACTGGTGCGACCTTGATTGCCAAATAAAACGCAAAAAAAACAAAGGTTGAAAAAGAAATAGTTATTTATTGTACAAGGAAAAAAAAGTACTAGATTTTAGCGCGAGGTGTGGTTTGTCTGTGACGGGAAAATCTCAACATTTTCCATCTATACATTATTCCCTTTGAGAAATTTTTTTTATTTTTAACCATATATGAAATGTTGTCATTACTGACTTTTCAAAAATTTGAAAATGTCACATTTAGTGTCTTTTCATTTTCCTGGTCCATTACCTGTCCCAGGACGGAAAATGAGGACGGGAAATTTTTTCCGTCCTCATTTCCCGTCCACGGACGGAAAATGGAGTAGGGAAATATTTCCCGTCTTCCTTCTCCGTCCTCATTTATTTGGTTATCACGAATTTTTTTTTTTTTTTCAAGAACTTATGGTAAAAAATAAAATAGTATACAAACCTCGACGGGAAACTTCATTGCTGTCTCGAGGTTCAGTTTATCTCGACGCTACGCGTCTCGATAAACTATATAACCTCTCGATCAGCAATGAAGCATTTCCCGTCTCGGATTGTAATATACTATGACTGGTACCTGTTACTTTTTTCCCGTGGGAAAAAAAATCACTTTTTGTCCCATGTGAGAAAAAGTGACATTTTTGCCCTTGTCAACAGGTACAAAAAGTCTACTTTTTTCCCATCACAGAAAAAAATATATTTATTTACAATCATACATGTAATGTTGACTTTACTGACTTTTAAAAAGTTCGAAAATGTCACTTTTTTGACTTTTACTTTCGGCCCACGGGTCGAAAGTTTACTTTCGACCCGTGGGCCGAAAGTAAATGAAATTTTTAAAATTTATTGTATTTTTTGACTTTTACTTTCGGCCCGTGGGCCGAAAGTAAATGAAATTGTTAATTATTGTATTTTTTAGCTTTAATCCAAATGAAAATTTCAAAATTCGAATGATTGTAAATAAAATAGTATACATACCTCGGTGAAAAGTTTCATTACCGTCTCAAGATTTCAGTTAGACCTCGGCTGCGCCTCGGTCTAACTTAAATCTCTCGACAGTAATGAAACACTTTCCATCTCGGTATGTAATATACTATTGTTTTATGTGAGTAGAAGAAAAGCGAGTACTCTAAACTTCTACTTTTCAATCTGTATTCATCTACTTGAATGTAGGCCTGTTGCCTCTTCCAACCGCTTCCGTGTTATATTGTTAAAAGAACTATCAATATTTAGTTTTCTACCAGCTATCCTTTCTTCGGTTTCTTTTCTTTATATATCTTCTAGGCATCTGTCTATGAATCTGTTGATTGATTTGCATTCTTGTAGTCGGGTGCTTTATTTTTCAAATTTTATCTGTAACCCCTCTTCTTCTTCTTCTTAATCTTCATTCTAAGCATATTATATTGTTCAATTGCCATTGCTCTTTGCGCTCTATTCAGGGGAATAGGATCCTGCTTTTCCATTCAATATCTTGTTATAAGATCCAGAAAAATGGAGCATCAAGTTACAGCGACCTGAAATGCAACAAGAGAGTTTTCTGAAAATGAAAGTAAATTGAGGTAAGGTGGAGTGGGGTAAATGTGTTATAGTTTTTGAATAGTGTAATTTTGGCTCCCTCTCAAAAGTTTGCAAGTCCATGAAAAGAATGGAAAATACACACAGTTTATCGGGGATTCTTGGCGAACACACTCATAACTTCCATGGCATGTGGGTATTACGATTTTTTTTAAAAAACTATGTAACTGTATCACATTAACCTCATGAAATGGGGCAAATGTAATAATCGCCTGGCATCAAGGTATGGTATATAATGGTGTAGTTATATGGGGTTAATGTGAAAGAACAAGAAATTTTCTAATATTGCTGTTTATTTCATTACTTTAGGATGAAAAATAAGAACTTAAATAGGCATATTAATGTAAAAAAGGCTTGGTTGATTATATAAGGTGGTAATTATGAAATACAAAATCGAATTCAAAAATACCGCGTCGGGTCACTTTTGGGACTGGAAGAATTTTGACTATGTCCTGCTCTACATTGTCCAAGTCTTCAAATTGGGGCCGAATAAACTTTTTATTTTGAAATTTCAAAAAATCGACAACCCAATCATCTTTTTCTTTGACTTGGCCACAAAATGTTTTAGACTTTTCTTAGTGCAATATTTCACCAGAACCCATTTACCTATTGCTACTGTTTGAACATTGATGGCATTTTTGTCGTTTTCATCAACACCTTCTTCATCATTTGGAAATTCCTCAGCATCATCTGATGACTCTATGTAGGGCACTTCGTCTGATTCCTCTTTAGAGCTAGATGTTTTTTTTTTTTGTTTCTTTGCTGGCTTAATTTTTATGTCAGCCTTGTTGTTATTTTTTTCTTTGATACGCAATAATGCTTCGTCGCATGTCAAGAGCTCAGACCCTGGACATACTCTTGTCCTAAGATTGTGTCGTTTTTTAAAAGCTAAAAACCAATCTTCTCCTGGAACTCCATCCTTGAAATTATTTTCCTTTTTATTGGCTGCAGTATAGGCTCCGACCGTCTGAAGCACTTCCTTACGAGACATTCCAAAACCCCATTTTTCAAGGACTTTCAATCCATTTGCCAATTTTACTTCTTCTTCTTCAGTCAAGTAGGTCGGACGACCTTTGCTGGTTTTAATTTTACCACGTAGGCCCTTTACACGGCTGTATAAGGTGACATCTGGTATGTTATATTCTTTATGTGCTCGGTAGATTGTAGATCTCCCTGCCTTTACATCTTCTATAGCCTTTTCAAGATCAGCTTTCTCATATTTTGATGTGCCATCAGTTTTTCGAATATATTTGCGAATCATTTCTGAAAGGGGTAAATGTGATATAGAACATATCACATTTGCCCCGGTTGGACTTTAACACGGGGCAAATTTAATATAAACAATGAAAAAACAATAAACAATTCCTAGTTAAAATTTAATTT